CTGTGATGGTATCAAAAGTGCTCTGGCCGCCTACGCGGAACATTAACCTATGAAAATATGTTCAACAGCTTTCTGTGGGGATAGAAGTCACTGTGGAAATGTAAGAGGAGGAAGTGGAGGGGAAAAAGGGCAAACATGTTCACACATGTTGCCTTCTGGTGGTGTGTTTTTGTTTCTTTTTTTTGTAATGCTAAGAGAAACAAAGTGAGGTGTGAGAACTTTTAATTGCAGTTTTTTTTTTGTTTTAGCTCTATCGAAGAAATTAAGCTTCTACCAAAAGTTTTAAATGTACTGCAGTTCAGAGAAAACGATTCATAGAGTGCAAGTCGGATGTCGCCTCTTTAAATCGAAAGAGCCGTGGAAGAGAGGAAATTGAGCTGCGTGGTTTTTGCAGGAATTCAGATATGACTCAGCAGCAGCCATCACTTTCCAGGAACTGAGCACCTGTTGATTCACAGCTGCTTCACTCACCGTCTCCAACACACACACACACACACACGCTCACATGTATTCGAGGTCTCTCTGTTCTCTGTGTAGAAACTGTTACGCGACACCTCATAATTCTTCGACACTTGTCAAAAACAGGATATTGTCATGCAGAAAATTTCAGTAGTCGTGTTTTTGGACTACTGTATTTAACAGGTATTTAAATGAAACAGAAATGCTGTATTTTTAGATTTTCTTTTTTCCAGAGTCCACGTATGTTTTTACTTTATTACACAGTTTGCTGGAAAGCGTGGTGGTGGTGGCGGCATCATGCTGTGGGGGATGTTTGGTGGATGAAACGATGTCAGATGTTTCATCTTAAGCTCAAGTCAACTCAAACCCATAAAAACTTGTTTTGGTATTGATAGAACATTTATTAGGATTCTACGATGACATTTCCCACCAATATATCTGAATACAAGTCCAAGATTTGGCCGACACCAGTTACTAATCATCCGCCTTCATACTTAGTGACATCCTGCTCTTAATCCTTAAAGTATGATTTCATTCCACTATAAGAAGTCACAGCTTTGCATCTTTTAGGAAGGCTTAGGAGTGTATTTTATTCCAGATCTGCATTCGTAAGAGTTAGACACTGATGTTGGCTCCTGACTCGCAGTTTCCACTTTGAATTCACACCAAAGCTGTTCTTTCAGGTTGAGGTCAGGTTTTCCGAACAAAGCTTGTCCTTCCAGGTCTTAATAGTCCTTGCTTTGTGCACTGCTGAGCTGACATGTTGGACCAGAAGGGTAGGAGCCATATTTCTACTGTTCCAACAAAGTCTGGATCATCAAATTGTCAAAATTGGTTTGGCAAAGCCAGCCACTTAAGAACTACCCATTCTTCCACAAATGTTTGCAGAAACAGTCTGAATGTCTAGGTGCTTGATTTTAAAAAATATCTGGCCATGGTAGTGATTGGAAGACAAGAATTCAATTATTTGAATGCGCAAAGAAGTTACTTTTAGCAATATATTGTACACCATTGTGCAATATATCAGACACTAAAGAAAGTTGAAACAGATATTAGTGGGGGGCTAAGAGGCGTTTAAACAAGAAGTTTAAATTAACCAAAATAAAAAAGCACCTTTTTTCCTCTCACTATTCAAAGTTAAATAAGACCAAACTTATCATTGGCCAAAATTATTTCTATTTGCTAAATGTCACAATAATGAGGGAAAGAACATGTCAAATATTTATCAATGTCCACAAAATCAGAAGGGGCGTTGTGTCAAAATTTCCACCACCGTACTTCACAGTTGGGATGGTGTTTTACAAGAGTCCCAGTTTTTCCTCCAAACGTGTTGATGTTCATTATGGCCAAACGGTTTTTCTTTAGCATCATCAGACGACAAGTTACGTCTCTAAAATTTAAGATCCACGTCTCTGTGTGCATCTGCAATCTGACATTTTTACGTTTGATCTGTAGTGACGGCTTCTTCCTCGCTGAGCGACCTTTCAGCCCACGCGACTTCTGATTTCAGCTGCATGTATTACAGCCTGTGTGCTTAATTTAAACCAATAAATCCAAACATGTATACCCTATGTTGGTTTTAAAAATTACCATATCACCCTGGAAAATTGATGACAACCCAGATATACTGGCAATGACTTTTATGAAAATCCTAAATTTTTCTTGTTCTCTGACTAGCACTAAAATAAAAGTAGGCCTCTTTTTTCCCTGTGAGGGACGGGCTAAGGATTTACCAATCACGTTTTCTCCCTGCAAGGATGTGATGTGGACAGGAAGTCCATTGTTGTCCACTCCCTCTTCCCTTTTGTTTTCAAGCCAGACTTTCCCACGCCTCCTCTTATTTACACTTTGTGTATTGTTGGATCTTGCATTTTGTGGAAAAGGAAAATAAACGTGTCGGGTGTACCTGACATTGTTCACCTTTCTATCAAGGAAGGGGACAAAAAAAAAAAAGAAAAGAAAAGAAAAAAGCACAAAAGCCAACAAGCTGCAGGAGCAGAGCACAGCAGGGAGAAACCTCTTTTTACGGCGCACTACTTTTATGGTCTCATTAAAACGCGTCTAAATACGATCTGGGGCCAATCAATAACAGCCTTTCAGGAAATGTATTGTCCTGGCTTGCACTTGAACTAACCTCGTGATGAAATCCAGTTCATCAGCAGTCTGTAATCGTCCTACGGAGACTCGTCTTAGGCTCGGTGTTTCATCAACTTCCATCATACCGTTTGTTTTTGTTTTTTTCTTTCATCCCTACATCATACAATTCCTGTAAATTATAATAGCCTTTGGGATGCGTGAGTGGAGAAATTCATTAATTAAACCCCTATTACTGTAATATCCTATTATGGAAAGGCACACTCATAAAACTGGCTGCTTCTTATCACCAGGTTTCATGCATTAGTAATGTTGCATTATAGCACAGAGAGCGCTGTTGCGTTGCAGACTTATAGCCTTACTACCATGTTGTAAAACTATAAGTATAAAGTTGTGTCCTAAATAATAGCAGTGTGTTTAAAAAAGTGAGTAAACCCTCTAAATATAAATAGTGATGGTTTATTTTTTATTTTAAAAATTCAGTTGGAAAAATGTACGTTATTCTTCCCCTGAAAAACAAGGTCAACAATAAAAAGTAACATTAGATTATTTAAATAAAAAAATAGTACTTTCTGAATTTTTCTTTTTACTTTATAACCCAGCCCAGGATCGTTTGACTCCATTGCACAATTCCTCTGCATTCCCTTGATTTTGCTTTGCCAACAGTGGTTTTGTGACGTCAGTCTTTCTCTCGCATTAACGGTAATCCTATTCATCTGGAACCAAGATGTTGCTCGCTTCCTGGTGTGTTTGGGGTCAACGTGACCCGTTCAAGAACTCAAGCTGATTCATGTCTGGGAAATGTCCCCTTATCTTGACCCCTGAGTTGCCAGAATTCAAAATGCTTGAATTAACGTCGAAGGGTAATAAAATATTGAACCCATTTCTTAACCTGGGTGTTCGTTTTACCCCAAAATTAGATTTTTTTGGTGGCTGGGATCTTCAGATTCTTCTGGTAAGTGGCAGCCATCTTTCATTACCTGAGGTGGGTAGCTACTAGTAACATTTACTTAAGTAACTTTGGGAGGAAAAGTACTTCTGGGAGAAGTTTTACTGCACTGTAGCTGTATTTTGAGCCACAGTGCAACTGTAGTACAGTAAAAGTTTTATCCAACTTTTACTTGGATAAAATTTCTGGCTCCTTTGCTCAGCGCTCTACTTTACTGAATGAAGAACAAGCATGTTTAACCAAAAATGGATCAGAACCAGAACCACACCTACTTTGTTATATTGAAACCGTCGCTCTAAAGCTATTTTCTATTTGTGTTTTCTGTTGTGCCATTTGGATGTGAATGTACAGTAAACAAGTTATTATTACTGGAAGCACTTTGTGCTGTTCCAGCATACATTAACTATCGTAGTACATGTTGGTTTCAATGATTTTGTTGTGAATTTAAAAAAAAAAAAGATTTCAAAGTGCTGCTGCTGTTTTCTATACACAAATATACAAATCTTAAACTAAGTTATTTTTCAAATTACCATACTCAATTTCACATTTCTTTTGATGAGTGTGCTATTTTTATTAAAGTGACAGTATTATGTAAAATTTACTTTTTTGTGCTTCACATCGTGTTATAATGTTATTCCCTCATCAAAAACATACCTGGACTGTTGCCTTGATTCTTTTGTGCATGTTTGAGAACTCTTTTAATCTCCTTTGCAACCATTCAGCTGTGCAAAACGCCTGGGTGGATCTAGCCCCGCCTTCGAGGACGAAGCCCCTCCTCTGAGCTACAGAGTCCAAGTTTCTGAGTTTCTGCCTCACAGAGCAGCCTTCCCCTAAAGGTGGAGTCTCAGAAAGAGCAAGAGGTTTTTAAAGAGACAGAAGTCCAATTTCAAGGCGTTATACACTAGGAAGTAACATTTCTTTTGGGTCATATTTGGTATATACAACATTTTAATAACAATATTAGTAAAAAATAGTTATTTGATTATGATATAAAATGGCACCATGTGACTGGAAAACACATGACACTGCCCCTTTAAATGCACAGTGTTATTTTTTTCTTCTTGTAAATCTGCCATTACTGTACAGTTTCTTATCCTTATTTTGAATGTGGATGCTTCTACCTTTAACTTGCTGGTGGTACACCTAAATTTCCCCAATGTGGGACAATATGACGCTATTGGTCAACTCTGGGGCTTTCTATTTCCACCCCAAGAGCCCAAATAAACATAACTGACATACATTTTTGCAATACTTCAAACAGGAAATCTTTGTGGTCAGAGTAAAGTCAACAGCTCTTTAAATTCTCAAATAAACTGAAGCCTGTCTGTTAGAAAAAACAAGTGGGGACAACATGTATAAGATATAATAATGCCATTGTTGAGTTAATTATATTATTTTGCCCTCCAGTTTGTTTTCCTTTACTATTTATGAATGAAGGCGGAGGTCAGTGATCTGTTGACATTTTCTGGTCTTAACCACCAGGGGGTTCAGCAACACACAGAAAGACAGCCAACAGTCTCTTTCATTGTTCATGGTTGTGTGTGTGCGTGTGTGTGTGTATAAGTGTGTGTGCGTAACTCTCTCGGGTAGCATAAAGACGACGTTCAGTGCGAAAAACTTGCAATTCATGGCATGGAGGAGTCAGCGGGCAGCTGCAGCCCTCCACCCTTTGTCAGGTTAGGTGGATGAACGGCACATCATGCCCTGAATCCGCTTTCTAACGTCGAGTTGAATCAAACCTCCGTAAAGCTACTCGGCTGATGTTTTTCTCCTTCTTCTTCTCTCTCTCTTTCGCTTTCCTGCCTTATTTTTTCTCCTCCTCGGTGAAATCTGACTCAACAACAGCGGTTCTTTCCCCCACCTCTCTTTCTAGTTTGGATGGCAGATTCGTGCTAATTGGCCCGCGTGGATCGCAGCATCAAGAGAAAAATAAAAAACCTTCCGCTCGCGCACTGCGCCGTTTCAGATGCCTTCAACTTTGAGGGCGAGGGACAACCCCTGAGAGCCCCAGATTTCAACAGGAGGAGCAGGCAGCCAGACATCTCCGTCAGCTCCCACTTTATGAGAAGGACACGTCTGTGGAAGGGCTGAACGGGGGAACCATGGCAGCTACTTTATCGGCGGAGGAGGAACAGGTAGGCCCAGGGAAGGCAGAGGGAGGGAAGGGGGGTGCTTAGGCGTCCACTTCTTACTTTTACAGCGACGAACGACGAATTTCGCTCTCGTTTCTACCTGGAGGGTTTTTTTTGGTCGCTCGCTGTGTGCGCGCGCGTGTACGTGCGCGCGCGCGCGCCGCAGCGAAGTGGCAGCGGTGGTGCGCAATAGTGGCTTTGTTGCGAAATAGTCCCGAGCGCAAAGCGGAAACATTGTATCGATTTCTGGCGCATTATTGCCCTGATTGCATCACCGTCAGTTCCTGTCCAGCGGCTCAGATGATGTGTTGAAACCCGGGCCGCGCTGCCGATGCGAAGCGCTGTGCCCCGAGTTCTGACATTATTACCGGGGAAAGGTTTAACCAGAGACCGGGTAGGGTGAGGGGGGGAGAGGAAGCTCCTGGACACGGTCCCTGCTTCCTCGTTTGGGGTCAGTCACTGATGTTTACAGTAGAAACTTCTCTGAGCCTGTTGAGTCTTTTACAGTAGCCTAATGTTACTGATTCTGAGTAGAAATGAAAGGGAGAGTTATATTTATTCGGATTTTATTTGGTTTGAATCAGGATATAACTGGATATACAGCTGGGTTGAACTGGAGTGAACCAGATTAAGATTGGATAAAATTGTATTGCGTTTGATTAATTTAAATTAGTTTTTTGTGACTAATGTAGTTGTATTGTATAACAGTTGACACAAAAACTGAGTAAATTGAATTCAACTGGACTAGATATGGCTCTGTTAAGTAAAACAATTGATACTGGAACTAGAATGTGGCTCTACAGAGTCTAATAGCTGGATTAAAATGGATTAAGGTTGGGTTCAGATGGACTGAACCAAAACAGGATGTACTTTTGGTTTAAAATGAACTTTATTAAACTGTATTTCAGTTTGTTAAAATAAACAATGTTATACTGAAATAGATTACAAAACTGAATCTGGCTCAATTGAACTGGACTGCATGTTGATTTAATTGTTCAAGTAAGTTTGAGTCGAACTGGGTCAAAATACATTAAAATAAATGCATTGCTTACATTTTCTTGTACTTAGGATTGAACTGGACTGCACTGTTTTCTATTATTGTTCATTTCAGTGGTACTATGCTCAATCACAAACTTAAAATCAGACTGAATTATACTGACATGAACTACATTCCAAACCGAACCAAAAACTTTGAATTGATTTAGACATTAATTACAATGAAATAAGCAGTAATTCACTTTGTGTAATTCAATTTGAATTTTATTGAATTCAGTTGGATTCAGCTGGACTGTCCTGTGTTAAATCATATTGAATTAGACTATTTTCCATTGAAATCAAATTGATTTATATGTTATTCTAACACTTAAAACATGAACTCTTCTGTTAAAACTGGATTTGATTTATTTTGGCTAAGTTTGTAGAGAAGCATTGGATCATAAATGAATTGAAACAAACCGTAGCGCTTATTGAAGCAAAAATATTGAACAAGACTGTATTAGCTGAAGCAGTTTGGACTGGAATGAAAGTCTAACTTTACTTATAAAGAAACTTCAGTTTTTTTTGTGAAATTAATCAAATTTCATCCATCCACCTGTCCATCATCTATACCTTTCTGTCACGATAAATTGTTCCAGAAGTTATCACAATAAATGATAATATTGTTGTTTTGAGACCATTTTTTAAGAAATATAATAGTAATGACAAAATAATAATATAAGAACATATTCTCAAAGATCAATAAACTTTAAATTCTAATGAACATTTAACACTGGAACTGGAAGACATTTTAAATATCCAAAATAAATAAATAAATAAATAAAATAAATAAAACAAATAAAATTAATTGTGAAGTTTTTGTAAACAACTGAAGACTTTTATCATCCAGTTTTTGAAAACTGGAGGAAAAAAAGAGAAAAACAATAAATCAGACCAATGGAAATTATTGAGTTTGTTTTAATTTATCATGTGATTAATTGATGTTTTGATTATTGTGACAGGCCTATCTATACCTGCCTGTCTTTGCCCATCTCAACAAGCAGGCGTCATGCAGAAGGACCCCAAAGTCAGAATATGAACCCATGAAAATGGAAAATGAAGCCTTAAAATCTGTACCTATCCTAGCAATTAGTATCTTTATGAGATACACCTTGCTAGCACCTTTTGTCTTCAGAAATGTGTTTTTTTATCTTTGTGGCAAAGACTTAGCAAGGCACCAGAAACATCCCTCAGCAGACTTTGGTCCATAATGACGTGATTGCATCATGCCGTTGCTGCAGGTTTGTTGGCTGCACAGCCGTAATGCAAATGTCCTGTTTGGCCACACCCAAAAGGCGATCTGTTGGATGAATATCTGGTGACTGCAGAGGCCAGTTGAGCACAGAGAACTCATTGTCACGTTCATCAAACCAGTTTGAGATGGCTAACCTGTGGTCATAAAGGAAAAGACAGGGTGAGTAACAGAACAGCAGGTAGGCTGTTGCTATGAAGGGACCTAAAGTGTAGCTAAGGAAATCCCCCATATCACGATACCAACAGCATCACCCAGTGCGGTCTGCTGCTGCTGTAGCCCACCTGCTTCTATGTTTAATGTGTTGTGATGGCAAGTTTAGTTGCTTAGTGTCTTTTCTAACACCAATACAGCATTTTTATCCGCTCAGCCTCCACTCTCTGGGCCATTCTGTATACACTCAAGACATGGTTGTGTGTGAAAAAAACCCACCTTTGTTTCCCATTTAGTATTTGGTTTAACTTCAGCACATCTAGATGTAAGCCAACAACCAGATGTCTGGTTGTTGGCTTTTTATGTCAACAAGCAATCAATCTTGTCCGGTGAGTTTCTCCATTTTGTGTCATGGAAATGTACGTTTTGCAAAATCGTGCAACAAAATTAGACTGCTGGGCTGTTGTTAATACTAGGGCGTGTAATGATACCTAAAACTCACAAGATAAGACACGATGATGATTTCACAAGAATGAGATTTTAATATTACTTTCAAGAAAACTTCAAAGATCAAATTTATGGTACAAATAGACCTTCATGCTAAATTTCCATACATTTTGCCTGAAGCTGAACTTTTATTTTCAGATTTGTTTTCCTCTCTTCAGACCTAAGCATGGTTTGTGGTGCTTTCGATAGGGTGGGCTGTGATGGATGTCTAACCTACCCCTAGACATCCATCCTGCGGTTGTTATGGCAATGCTTTCTGCCTCTTTTGCATCTAAACAACTTGGAGTACTTGCACAATTTCCGTGTCTTCCTGTAGCATTTCTAGATCCAACTGGAAAACAAAAATTCGTCAAAACAAATTATTTAAGTGTAGTTGGGGCGTCTTCCACTCCCACTTCTTCAGGCAAAGAAACTCGAGATAGGATTTACCTCATTGTGAAATACAATGCTTTCATATTGCGAGATCTTCTGTGATGAGTTCTTGTTACACTGCTAGTTAATACCTTTTTTTTAAAAAAAAAAAAAAGGAAAAGGAAGTGGATCTAACGATGGTGGAGCAAAAAAAAAAAAAAAAAAAAAAACAACCACGGAGATGGAATAAAATGAGTTTGCCTCTACAAGACATTTGGAGTCTTGTTCTCTGTCTCTTGCCTCGGTTTTCTGCCGACTCCCCATCATCGACCCAGCAGAATGCTCCTTATCTGTTTCGTCCATTTCCTGTGTGAGGCAGGGCCCCCGCTAGGGTGCCGGGCAGCCTCATTGCATCCAAAGCCTAAACGGGGTGTGTGCGTGTGAGAGCTGATTCTGTGTGCATTTTGTAGCGTGGCCCTCTTGGGACTGTACACTGCTGTAGTGGAACTTCATTCTACATGCAGCTGTTAAAAGTATTTCCACTAGACACAGGGGAAGGGAAGGGAGCGGGGGTGAGTTTATGAGTAACTGAGTGGCGTGTGTGTCCATCAAGTGCTTCAGAGAAAGTGTGTGTTGAGACTGCTGCACCCAGGAAGCGGCGAAGTGAGAGAAAGTGGGGAAGAGGCAGATTGTGACGTTATTGACTTCCTGTTTTGGCATTGACTCGTGCTAAATTGGACTCGGCGAAGTGAAGCCGCTCAACAGAAGTCCTACGTTCGTAAATGGATTAGCGTGGCATCTGTAATCAAATAGATTCAGGAGAAACGATGCGAGGGGCGGCCATTAAACCTTTTCAGGAAACGGAACGGAATAAACGCATTAGCCTTGTCTCGAGGATCAAGGTGTAATGATAGCACAGCTTTGGCTCTTCACCTCCTTCCCCTGATTTGTTCATTAGAAGTTCTCTCAACTTACATATTACCTTGTTAGCGAATCACCTTTTTATTTTTTAAACTTAAAACCATTCAAAGACAACTTGTTTGTTTTAGTAGCTGATGGTTGTCTTACAGGGCAAAGCAAAAGTATATTTCCTCTTGCTTAAAGAGCCTAAAAAACAACAACCAGGTCCTACATGTTGAATTGTGAATCAATTGTGATTAGCGATATTCATTTTGGTTCAATTTCAAGAGCCACACCCAGGCCTGATTGCTGCCAGACCTGCAGAGTCAAGAAATCTCTAAATAGCACCTGTCTGTCAACAAGAAGTAGGCTGAAGTAGCTAAAAACAAAAACATCATCATGCTGTGATCTAAGGAAATTCAAGAATGGATGAGAAACAGGGTCAGTGTCATCCATTAGTCTGTAAAGGTTCACAAAGCTGTTTCCAAAGCTTTGGGGATTCACAATGCGAGATTTAATCCACAAATAGAGAAAACACTAAAAGTATTCCCAAGAGTGTATCAGTGACTCATCCAGGAGGTCACAAAACAACCTGAAAAAAAGCAACAACGCAGTCTAAAGCACTGCAGGCATCACTTGTCTCAGCTAGGTCACTGTTTACGATTCAACAGTAAGAAAGAAACTGACAAAAATGGCCTCTGTTGGAGAACTCCAGGGGAAAAGCTACTGCAACACAAAAGCCAATTTTACATTTGAAGCAGCAAGGTAAATGTGGTCTAACGCAAACAGCCAATTTACGCCTGCA